TGCCCCATCTTCCTTCCGAGGAGTGGCTGGTGGGTTTGAACCGCCAGCTTTCTGGTTAGCAGTCAAGTGCCTTAGCCACTATGCTACCAGAGCTCCTATAGAGCAAACTAGATTCTCATTTAATAGTTTGTTTGTACGTAAAATGCTTTTCTGTGTCTTTAATCTTTCCCTAGCTCTTTCTCTGTCTCTTGATGTCTCTGCTTCTGCCTGTCTGTCTGTCCTCCCCTCTCATCATCTGTCACTCTGTGCCCTTGCCTATTTCTGGCTCCTCCGGAACTTCCGTGTCTCGGTGCCTTCCTCTCTTTCCGTCTCGGTCTGCCATTCCCTCTCTGCGTCTTTGCCTCCGTGTCTCGGTCTCACTCACAGTGTCACCCCAAATAATCACGGCTTTCTCTTGTCCCCTCCCCTGCTTCCCAGGACCTGCTAAACCCCGACCCTGCCCCCTACTGCCAGCTGGTGCCAGCCCCTTGAAGGGGTCGCTGGGCAGGCCAGATGGGGAGAAAGCCACGCCTCAGCCTCCCCAGGGGGCCTCAGACCTACAGAAGACACCCAGCAGACACCCAGCCAGCCCAGGGGTTGTGAGGACAGACGGCCGGACGCGGCACCACGGCAGGTGTCCCAGGGGGAGGACAGGAGACAGACGGCCCGGTTTGTCTCTCACCCCCTTGAGTCTGTTCCTTCAGTCAACCTGGCCCAGATCACATGCCCGGGAAAAGCAGGTTCTCACTAAGTTCCCCCATCTGGATCCTTGGGGGTGACGGCGGTGGTCTTGGCCTGCCTCCAGCCACACCTCACAGGCACCCACTTGGCTGAGCTCCCAGCTGTCTGAGCATGATGCCCCACCCCCACACCACCAGTCACCCCCCGGGGACTCTTCTTCCCGAGACAAGGCAGCCCCCGCCACACAGGCCCCAGGGGACAAGGCACGTGGCAAGGAGGCCTGGCCTCACAGGCCTGTGGCCCCAGCTGCTGGACCCCTCTGTTCCAGTCCCTCCAAACCCGTTGCCATTGAGTCAACTTGAACTCCAAGTAGAACTGTGCTCCCTCAGGTTTCCAGTGGCTGATTCCTCAGTAGATGACCAGGCTTTCTCCCAAGTGTCTCTTGGTGGACTTGACCCTCCAACCTTTCCATTAGCAGCCAAGATCAACCATTTCCACCACACAGGAACTCCTCAGCCACTCTACCGAAAAATACCCAAACTCATCACAACTGAGTCCATTCCGACCCACAGCGCCCCTAGAGGACAGAGTGGAACCACCCCACAGGATCTCCAAGGCTGTCATCTTTATGGAAGCTGACTGCCTCTTCCTTCTCCCACAGAGTGGCAGGTGGATTCGAACCACTGACCTTTTAACCACTGAGCCACCAGAGCTCCTTTCAGCCACTCTAAACCCAAACTCACTGCCATCAAGTTGATTCTGATTCATAGCAACCCCCATTGGGTTTCCGAGGCAGTAAATCTTTACAGAAGTAGATTGCCCCATCTTACTGCCGTAGAGCGGCTGGCGGGTTTGAACCGCCAAACTTCTGGTTAGCAGTCAAATGCCTTAAGCACTGTGCCACCACTCTGGCCCCTCTCAAAACCTCTAGCCCCTCTCAAAACTCTAGCCCCATGCTGAATCTCATTGTGGTGGTTATGTTTGTCAACTTGGCGGGGCCTGGTTGAGTGGCTGGGCAGCTGGTGGTGGTTATTCCCCATGATGAGGCTGGCAGTCAACTCCACGGTGGGATCTACCGCAAGCAGCTAAGTCAGTGCCTTCGGTCAGGCGGCTTCCTGGTGGAGTGAGTTGCCTTCAGGCATTAACTGTTATAAGAGACCGGCTAGAAATGGAGTAGCAGGTTGGCTGGCCCACTCAGCAAGAAAGCTAAATGTCCCTTGGAGCAAGAAGATTCCTGGCAGAGTGGGTTGCCCTCGGGCATTCATCGGCAGATGCAGAGACCAAGGAAACGGAAGCAGAGCTGCCTCAGCCTGAGAGGGTAGGACCATGGCCTTTGGGGGTGGAACCACCACAGCCCCCTAGGTTTCAAAGAGCCAGGCCTTCACCAACTTGGTTCTGGAGTGTGGGGCTGCTCGTTCATGTGGGCCAGTGGGATGGAGTCATAGCCGCTGCCCAAGAGTGAGGGGGCGGGGCTGCCATGCCCAAGAGGGAGAGGAACAGGGGCTGCCAGGCCAAGGGGGTGAGGTCACCACTCAGGAACTAGGGGACTGCAGCCACCCAGTGTAGAGATTTGTACAGATGCCACCCAATGAAGATCTGTACAGGTGCCAAGTTGACAAGGGGTGGAATTGTGGTGGTTATGTTTTTTTGAGTCAACTTGGCTGGGCCTGTTGAGTGGCTGGGTAGCTGGTGGTAGTTAATCCCCATGAGGAGACTGGCAATCAACTCCATGGTGGGACCTACCACAAGCACTGAGTAGCTGCTTTGGGTATGTGGTCTGCTTCCTGTATTTAAGGAGAAGCCTTGGGAATGGTCTCTAGCCTATGGCACGCTTGGACCCTGCATGTAGCCGTGTCATTGCTCAGCACCCTGCTATGCTCTGCCGACCTTGGAACTTTCAATGGACTTAAGTTAATGAATGGCCTGCTGTGTGGTTTGGTAACATCGGGACTGTGCCTTTTTACTTGTCAACCTTGGGGCTTTTCAGCCTCAGCAGCCAGCAGCTGTCTGAGTGAAGAAAAGCCTCTAGCTCCAGTGGGCCAGGAGCTGGAGGCAGAGTCCAAGGTTGACGGGCTTTCACCCAGCCCCTAGAGCCTGGCACTTTGAACTTGGACTTAAACCTGTACGATAATAAACTCCTGTTTGTTAAGGCCGTCCCATTGGTGGTGTATTCCTATCAGAGCGGCACTAGGTCACCAGAATACTCACCAAGTGTTTAATTTATTCACTCATTCAGCACACTGAGCCCCAGCAGTGTACCAGGCACAGGTCTAGGCCTGACAGTAAGCCAAACAGACAAAGACGCCTGCTCTCCTAGCGGGACACTCTGGCAGAGGAAAGAGTCAGGAGACAAAGAACTGGCTGGTGATAAGGGCAGTGGGGAGAATAAAGAGGAGAGGGAGCTGGGAGCGTTGAGGACTCAGGAAGGGCAGAGAAGGCCTCACTAAGGTGGTGGTACGTAAGCAAAGAACTGAAGGGGAAGGAGGGAGCCATGTGGGGATCTAGGGGGAGAGCATTCCAGGCAGAGGGAGCTGCAAGAGCAAAGGCCCTGAGGTGGAATGGCCTGTGTGTTCAAGGGGCAGCAAGGAGACCACTGTGGCTGGAGCAGAGCAGGGGAGGCAGAAAGGGTGGGAGGGAAGGTCACAGCGATGGGGGGCAGTAAGGCACTGCAAAGACTGTGTTTGCTCTATGAGACATGGGGGAGACTGTGGTCGGGTGAATAATGCACCCCCTCTTTAAAAAAAAAAGATGCATTTCAATTGTGGTGTTGGTGACAAACACTGAATATGCCATGCACTGCCGGAAGAACCAACACATCCATCCCGGGCGCGGTACAGCCTGCATGCCCCTTTGTGGTGTAGTAAATTACTTAGTGTGGCTTTTCTACCCATAAGTCTTTGTAAACTCCAAGGTGGGAATTGCTATTAGCAACTGAGGAGATCCTGATTTTAAAGTCACCCACCTGGGTTATTTCTGTTGGGCGTGGCACAATACAATGTTCTGGGAAGTTCCCACT